TAAGGCTTTATTCTATTATTTTATAGCTTATAGAGCGCAGGCTTATTTTAGTATAGCTAAGACCTAATTTCTAATAATAGGTTTAGTATATATAGACTACGCTATAATACTTACGCTTACGTATAAGTGTATAGTAGAGTATTATTAAAGTATAAATACTAATATTATTAGTATTATAGACTTTAATTATCTATATAATATAGTACTAGAGTTAAGAGTGTAGGACTTTTATAAAATAGAAGGAGTTATATTAGTAGATATATTAAAGCAGATTCTTAAGGAGGCTCTTATAGTATTTGTATCCTATTCTAATATAATATAGGCATAGCAAGACTAGTAGAAAGAGTAGTAATTATCCTAGGATTCTAGTATATTAGGCTAGGGTAATATAGCTATAGATATAGATAACGCGCTAGCCTTATAAGTTGCTAAACGTAATTATAATCTATCTAAGCGCGCCCCTATATCTATTCTACGTTAGCGCGTAACAACTTTAGTCTTAGATTAGGGATTACTAGTATATCTACCTCTATCTTACGCTACCTATACACTATTACATAGCTAACGCCCACGTAGTTAGACTCCTCTATATAAGCGCTAACTAAATTAGATACTATAAATACTTAAATAGTTAAAAGGGGCGCTTACTTACACTCCTTAGTTATTCTAGGGGAGGATACAAATATTAATAGATAAGGGCAAGGAGAATTATTATTAGTGTCTACTTATCTTATTCTAAGAGTAGTAATTATAGCCCTAGATAGCGTATAATTGTTAGTCTTTTAGTTTAGGAGAGTAGTAGGAGTTTATAGAAGTCTATAGGAGTATACAAGAGTCTATAGGAGTCTATAGGAGTCTATAGGAGTCTATAGGAGTCTATAGGAGTCTATAGGAGTCTATAGGAGTCTATAGGAGTCTCTAGGAATTTTTTAGGAGTATAGTAAAGCTATTATAATAGGCCTAGAAGTCTATAGGAGTTTTTTAGTATAGTTAGTGTTATATAGTAGTATATGTTATATATTATAGATTATTATATTATAGTAATAGTAAGTTACTATTTAGTTAGTTAGCTATTACTAAGGTAAGAAATATAATCTTAGTTATCTTAACTATTATCCTTACTACTTACTCCTACTCTAAATCTTAAACCTAACTACTACTACTACTACTATTACTACTATACCTACTACTCCTACTACTACTACTCTTTGCGGCAATATCTGCTATAATAAGGACGCCCTCCTTTAGGAGGTAGCTAGACTAGAGTAGAGCAAGTTACGCTTAGGGCGCCTTTACTAGTATAACTATACGTTGTATTAGCTTTATTAACTATAATACTAACTATCCTAGTGCCCCCCCTTATTATTAGGTTCTTACGCCCCCCCCCCCTCTCCTTAGTCCCCTCTACGTCTACTACCTATAGCTCTTTTAGCCTATTATAGTATCTATTATAAAGCGTAATACCTATATATACTATAGCTTCTATATCTAGGGTAGCTAAATCCCTCTATAATATTAGTTTCTAACCTTCCCTAGTTATCTTAAGTACCTATATAGGGAAAGGAGCTAGGTGTTTAGAATAGACTAGTATTACAAGGGAGGGCCCCCTATATATATTAGAATATAAGTCTAGGTATAGAAGATTTAAGGTTATCCCTACTACCTATATATTTCTTTACTAGGTAGGTTTAAATCCTAGTAATAGGTAGAGTGTAGGCTCTTATTAAGATAGGTATAGTAGCACCTACTTAAGAAGGGTTTATAGATAGTATCTTACTATTTATACTATATATATTACGTGTTAGTATATACTAGACTTATTATATAATAATACTACCTATGCTATAGTCTATATATATTATAATTAAGATATAATAATAAATTATAATAGTAAAGTAAACCTATATACTTAGTTAGTTATACTATATAATATAACCTTAACGCCTTAACTTTAACTTACTACTAATACTACTAATACTACTAGCACTACTAATACTACTAATACTACTAACACTACTAATATATTCTCCCTTGTGTAGTTCTACTACGCCTACTACGCTAACTTCCCTATAGCTAAGGGGATAGTTATTACTACTACTACTACCCTCCCCCCTTATACTACGCGTTTAGGTTAGGTATTCTAGGTTAAGTATAGTATTATACTTTAATATTAGAAGTTATATAAGAAAGATAGATACTAACACTAGTATAGCCCCCCCTCTACTACTACTACTACTACTACTACTACTACTACTACTACCGCTACTACTACTGCCGCTAACGCTGCTGCTGCCGCTGCTCCTGCTACTACTACTACTGCCCCTACTACCCCTATCCCTACCCCTACCGCTCCTACTACTACTATAGATAAAGATAATAATAATAATAATAATAATAGGGGGGTTTAGCCCTAGTTTTTTAGGCAAGATAAAGATAAAGAGAAGGGGCTAGTAGGCCTCTATATCCTGTCCTCCCCCCTGCCCCCTACTCCCTTACCCCCTTTATTACTTTTTAGCAGTTCTTTGCCTATAGCGTATAGGAGTAGGTTAGGGTAGGAAGGTAGCGTTAAATAGGAGGAGGAGATAGAGAGGATAGAGAAGATAGAGTAGAGGGAGGAGGAGGTAAGGTAGAGGGAGGAGGAGGTAGAGGATATAGACTAGGTTTCCTCTTATCCCCCTACACTATATATTACTATATTATATAGTAAGTTCTAATATACTAACGTGTAATAGTAGCCCTATAGCTAGTGCTACTCCCCTTATTCCTAGTAGCCCTAGTAGGTTATATACAAAGGTTAGTAATAGCTTAAAAGAGGGCTATAACCTTGTATAGCGTGCGCGCTTAGATTAGATTACCTAGATATATACTAGTTACAAGCGCTCTAACTACTAGCGTTATATTAGAGAGGGGCTTTAGTATTATATCTTAGAGGAGTTGTACTAGGCGCGCACGCCTAAGAACAAGGCTATTACAGACTATTGTGGCCGCATTATAGAGTTAGTGCTAGGTAAGCAGCGTTTTGGTAATTAGCAATGCTGGACTTGTCAGGATAACAACTGGGAGTGCTAGGTCTACTGCGACGATGCCCTGCGGCCGGCGTGATTGGTTAAGGAGTTTTTAGCGCAACGCTAATCCCTTTGGAGTTCCTAGGAGTTTTTAGCGTTGCACTAGCAGGGGTAAAAGCTCGTCAGAGCGTTCTGATGAATGAGATAACTCCTGGGTCCAGTTGTCTAGAGCCACCATAATGCCACCACCAATTTTTCCCAATTCAGTTATTCTGTCCTGCTGGTGAATACATGCATGTATTCACCAGCAGGACAGAATAAACGTGATGCCAAGTCTCTGAACTTTGTGGCTGACGGCGCATCACATACCTACCGTAGGCACCGGTACCGGTACCGGTATGCTTTTCCCCTGCGAGTGTTTCATCAAAGGCACCTGTGTCGCGCTGCAAATCTTAGAAGTGCCCATTGAGGTTGGGAGTGTTGGTACAAAGCAATCTGCGACAGAGTGATGGGTACATCAGTTGGCGTCTGTGATCTGATGATGGTAGTTGTGTAGCACCGTACGTAGGTAACCAACCGGTGCTGGGCATGGGGAGGCGGCTGGCTGGCTGCGGCTCGTTCCTGCGGCGCTCGGGCCATTGTGCTGCAAGGACCCGTCCCCGTGCCAACTCCTGTCAGCTGCAAGCCCAGACAATCTCCACTTATCGCCATCATCGTCTTCCTTCCTGTCTTCCTCCCATCCTCTCCCCGTCTCTACACCTCGATGTTCAGCTGGCTGGCATCTCACTCCCCCCCTGAGAATTCTGTAACATCTTCTGCAAGACCTTGTCATCTGTGCAAGAATACCGGTACCGGTGCCTGAGGATGTCGGAGAAAGCACCGCTCGTCGTACTGGTATCCGCCACCCCGGACAGACCCCGGCACGTGCAGCGCTGTAGCAAAGGTCGAGCTGCTGGAAAACTATTTATTCTTGCAGCAGCTACATATCTTGTATATCACAGTGCTCCTCAACGTGAGTTTTCCTCAGTGCAACAGGGTATTGCCAACTGACACGAATGACAGCTGGCAACGATGCCGCAGAGGATACCAAGGCCGAGCTCTGTCTGACGCCTGCCTGC